TACTGATTTTTTGAGTTTGTACTGATTTTGTACTGATTTTTACATTTAATACTTCTGTAAATTGGTGTAATTGACATTTACATGAGGTTTACATGTTCAAAACAATGGTTTTTGACAACTCATACGTGTGAACAGATTGAAAGCATTAATTAAATTTAAACGATTATTAAAAAGGTGTCAGCTTGCAATTGTTTCATTTCCTAGGATTTCGCAAAATAACAAAATGTTTGGATTCAACCCAACCCAACTTCACGATTTGCAGGTTTTACAGGAAAAGCTGGTTTCGCCATTCATAAATCTTATGAAAGGTGGTGGTGAGTTAATCATATATTAAGTACACTGAGAAGATGACAATAAAAGATAATCTTTTGATTATAATTAAGCATCCACTGAGAAATCGGCTGTCAGTATTTCAAACTTAAGACGACTACTGCTACGGTGCAATGCAAGTTCTTAAAATTTGGAAAAGGTGCAAACTACCGACTCTTGGATATGATATACGTAGATAGATAAATAGATATTAAATGAGGTTTGCACCGCGACCTATTGGTCTATTGTGCCCTCCACTCTTCACAATATCTCTTCTAAACCTAATTCCCTGAGAAAATTTAGCAGTGCCTTAGGAGATAGGGAGTTAATGTGCCTAAGCTGTGGCCACATTGAGCCTAAACTTCTCTCACGCCTTCTGCAGACTGCATTACATTCGGTGAGGATGTGAAGAGGAGTCTCGCTGTAGTGTCGCAAAACCGACACAGGTCACTCGACCTTATCCCCAGCTTATATAGATGTCCCATGTACAGATGTGAGGATACCTGTTATGATTCTAAGCTGCCCTTTTCGGAGGTCAATTAAGCTTTGGAATCTCCTTCTGTTATAGTCTCCCAGTAAACTCTTTGCCTGACGCATTCCTGACGAACTTTGCCAGTTTAGATCCCTCATAGTGATCCTCTCTCTCCGAAGCTTCTCCTTTAGAGTGTTGGGACCCACTCCTATGAAGGGCTCAGGGCCAACTGGAGTGGTGGCTGCCACCACTCTCGCAAGACAGTCAGCCGCCTCGTTACCCTCTACTCCCCTGTGTCCAGGTACCCACGCTAACTTTATGTTATTGTGTCTACCCAGGGAGTTAAGCTTCTCAATGCACTCCAGGACCAGCGACGATTTGACCTCATAGGATATGAGGGCCTTGAGTGCTGCCTGGCTGTCGCTAAGGATTATAATACTCTCGTTTCTATACCCTCTACCCATGATTGTATCCGCTCATAGGCAGATAGCATAGACTTCTGCTTGAAAGATGCTCGGATATTTCCCCATAGGAACAGAAATCCTGGCCCTGGGTCCCACAATTCCAGCACCTATTCCTTCTGGGGTCTTCGAGCCATCCGTGTACCAATGCAGAGTGCCTCGAAAGCGGAGACACTCCAGGTCGCCTTACTGCAGAGCTCTATTTTGAATCTCTTCTCAAAGACTATGGTCTTTCCTATGTCATCTCTAGGCAGTAGGGCTAGTGGGAGCGAGGACCCTAGCTTCTCCATACTCCTAGAGGAAATGACTTTACCTTTTCCAAATCCCTCTCTCGCAATGATAAGCAGAGTTTTTTTGGCTGCCTGCTCTATGGTTATATCAAGAGGCTCAAGTTGAAGGACTACTTCCTGCGCTGTCGTCGGACATGTGCGCATCGCTGCTGTTATACAAACACATGCCAGTCGTTGTAGCTTGGTGAGCGATTGTCTCACCGTGGCTAGAGTAGTTCTTGAAACCCAGGCTACCGCCCCATAGGTGATCATTGGCTGTACTATCATGATGTAAAGCCATCTCAGGATCCTGGGCGTATAACCCTAGGATTTTCACGCCAGACGCTTACACACCATTAACGCTTTCGTGGCCCTGGAGGTGATCGCGTCCACATGTTTCTTCCATAGAAGTTTGGTGTCTAGGATTAGTCCCAGATACTTCACTTCGCTGGCGACGCTAACCGCGACCCCCTCCAAGGTTATGTTCCTCATGCCCGGAAGGGCTCTGTTCCTAGTAAAAGGAATGACGGCGGTTTTGTCCGTATTTATGCTAAGTCCTAACTTGTTGCACCATCCCTTCGTGATTCCTAAGCCTCTTTGAATGATATCGCAGAGGGTGCTCTCGAACTCCCCCCTGGCAATTATCACTATATCATCCGCATAGCCTTGGCAGCGGATACCATTGTCAGAGAGAAGTTGAAGAAGTTCATCCACCACTAGGCTCCACAGAAGGTGTGATAAGACCCCTCCCTGCTGGCAATCCTTTGTTGTCTGAAATTGTACCACGCTGTCCCCTACCTCGGTTTCAGCTATCCTTCTACGCAGGAGCGCATCAACCCAATTTGCAGATCGTTGCTGCACGTTTCTCCTCTCCAATGCTCTGCGCACTCCAGAGTGTGACGTGTTGTCAAACGCGCCCTCTATATCGAGAAAGGCGCGGAGCACTGATTCACCGCATTCGAGGGCCCCCTGAATCTCGGTTGTCAGTTGGTACAGGGATATGTCCGCGGACCTTCCAGCCCTGTATGCATGCTGACTGGAGTGCAGGGGTATATCCCTCAGAATGGTTGATCTAATGTGGTTATCTATAATCTTCTCCATTGCTTTTAACACAAAGGAGGTTAAGCTTATTGGTCTGAACGACTTCGCTAGCGAGTAGTCCCTTTTACCAACTTTCGGAATGAAGATTACTCGCGCCCATCGCCACATCTGTGGGACATACGCTTCTGCAAGACTGCTTCTCATTATGTCCACGAGATGCGGTATTACACTCTCACCGACCTGCTGCAACAGCACTGGCTGGATGCCATCTACCCCCGGAGTCTTGTAGCGCTCAAACGAGCCTAGCGCCCATCCGACTGAAGACTGAGTGAAAATACCTCTCGCCAGTCTCCAATCAGATGGTCGCGGCCTAGTTCGCTGGATCTCCAGCTCCTCCATCAGATTAGAGGCCTCCGGGAAGTGTGCTAGCATCAGGGCGGTGGCCCTCTCCTCCGTACTGTTGGTGAGAGCTTAAGCGCAAGCTCCGATTCAATAAGTCCTTTGGCTATAGCCTTATGTAACCTCGCAGCGGCCGGGGTATTCGAAATACCTTCACAGAAGGTTCTGAAACTTTCCCTTTTCGCCTTCCTAATCTCTTTGCTGTACTTTGTTAGACTAGCCGCATACTTTGCCCAGCATCTTGTCCGCTTAGCCCTATTGAACAGCCTGCGCGTGTCTTTCCGGATGGATGAGAGTACCCGAGACCACCACACAGTTTTCCCTTTCCCCTTTGGTTGAGTCTCGGGGCAGCTATAGTTAAAGGCTTCAGTCATTATATCTGTTAGCCTGTTAACTTTATGCTCTAATGCCATACAGCCGCCTTTTTTGTGGTCCCTCTCTAACCCGGGTAGGTTAAAATCAAGTAATTTCCTATAATTTTCCCAGTTGGTGTTCCTGGGATTCCTCTTCGGAATCCCTGCTCTGGCCTGCACTCCCAGCAAGAAACGGATAATCCTGTGGTTAGACAAGGAGGGTTCCGAAGACACCCAATCAGATTATTACCCAGATCGTTGCTGAGAGTCAGGTCAAGGACTTCTTGCCTGGCTCTAGTGACAAATGTTGGACATTGCCCAACATTGTTTATATACAGATCTTCACTTAGAATGTACTCAAGTAAGGACTCACCCCGTTTGTTGATGTCGGTGCTGCCCCACTCAACGTGGTGGGCATTCGCATCGGAACCGAGGATTAAAGGAAGTCGGGCTCTTCTGCAATGCTCCACCAGGTCTTGTACCTCTGCAGAGGGAATGCTGTGGTTATCCCCCGGAAAGTATGCGGCAGCAAACACTATGTCCCTGGGTCTTCCTTCCACCCAAAGCGTCGCTTGTACTGCTACCAGATCCTGGCTTAAAAACTCTGTAATGCAGAAAAAATCGATATCATTCCTGACCATTACACATGCTCTAGGCCTCTCAACGGAGAGGTCCCATATTACCTTACTATGTGTTCTTTTGATGCCCCTTACCTGGCCTCTGTATGTCCACGGCTCCTGAATCAGTACTATGCCCAGATCGTCCGTAGAAAACCTGCTCACAATTACAGCCGAGGCCGCAACCGCGAGGTGCAGGTTGATCTGGGCTACTGACAAGGGCGGTGGGTGCCTCATAATTGCTCATCCAGGTCCGAGAGCCTTAGTTCGCTCTCGCTTCCCCTGTCAAGCTCTAGCCTCCTCAAATCAATACCCTCGAGCAGCTCCTACGTATAGGGGACTTGCCCCTGTGCTGCGTCTCGCACATTGGTACCTCGTTCGTCGGAAGATTGGGCCAGAAGTGGTTGCCTGTGAGGTTGCTTCAGCCGGTAGACTTCCATCCACCTGCATAGCTTCCTCCCCTCCCTCCTTCTCTTCCGCAGCCTTCGGTCGCCAAGGCCGCATGGTGACAAAACTGAACCTGTAGTTCAGCTTGTACCCCGCCCTTCGGACATTGCTAAAAGAGTCCTCATCAATGCCGACGTTCAAACGCAGGCCGTTGTCCTCTATGCTGCTTGAGATTACGCGCCACGCTGGGGTGTTGAGACCCCCGTTTTGCGCCCTTAAAAGCCCGAACGCATAGTCTGACGATTTGTCAGCACTTCTTGGCAGGAAGATGGTCATGTTGTGCATGGGTGGGATATCATCTCCCCGTTTCACGCACAGCAGGGCCCCCTTCCAGCTACCTAATTTCGGTGTGACCTCCTCTAGCCATTTAGACGTCCCTCATCTTTGAAATCTACCAGAAGTATGCCTGGACGGAAGTACACCCCACAGAATGCAAGCGGATGCGTCCACCCTTTGAACACCTCGTCCATTATGGCGTCCTGTAGGGCAGTTAGCTCATTCGGACTCAGTGCCTCCGCAGGGTAGTCACAGGGCAGCACCGTAACCCTTATGCCCCTTAGTGCATCAGAGTAGCTAGGCGTTTGCCCTACTCCACCCTGAAAAGCCGCTGGCTCCAGATGCTTACCCCCGGGTCACGATGTTGGAGGGGATAGATACTCCCGCTGCTTCTTTGGGGCCGGAGTGTTCGGTGTTAACTGCCCGCTCTTCCGCTTCGCGGGTGCGGTCTCACCGGAGCCCTCCACCTTGTTGTCCTGGTTTCTGTGCTTCTCATCATAGCGACTATGCCCGCTCTTCCGCTTGTAAGCGGGTGCGGTCTCGCCAGTGTGCCTGTCGTGCCTACCACCCGTAGCAAGGTGCTGTCCGTCACTCCGCTTCTCAGCGGGCGCGGGTTTATGACACTCGCTGGTATGCCCGCTCTTCCGCCCAGCGGCGGGTGCGGTCTGTTCGCGAGAGCCATACTGCCTGGTCTGCTTCTGATGCCCGCTCTTCCGCTCATTCGCGGGTGCGGTCGTACTGGTGTAGCGCTCAGAGTCCCGCTTACTCGACCCTTGTGGGGCCGATCTAGCGAGAGCTAGCTCCCTAGCTACCTCGGGAGTCTTGCGTTGTTCTATGTACCTCACATAGTGCCTCGCCCCGGAGCCACTAAGCCCCAACCTCCTGGGGTCGGTCAGCGAACCGGGTTTCCCTGCGGGAGGAAGAGTTGGTGGATTTGCCCTTCTATCCAAGTGGCGTCCCTTATCGTTCTTCAAGGAGTCGCGCGAGGTCGTCGATCCGGACTGACTAGGGGACCTGGTTTGCCCGCGCGAAGACTCGCTGTGGTACCTCCTTCTCCCACTACCGCTCGTGGTCTCATGCCCACTGTCATCTCTCAACGCCCTCTCGTGGAAGATGCCGCTTCTCGTAGAGGGTTCATTGTCCTCCCGCGCGTGCTCTAAAAAGAGTGCCGCTTCAGCATCGGAGAGGCCCTCTAGGAATATCTTCCTCCGTTCCTCTTGCTTAGTACCTTTAGATTTCTCTTGTACCTTTGCTTGCGCTTTTGTGCTGTTTGTGTTCCTAGTCTTGTTCTTGCTGTTGTTGTTAGCTTGTTGTTGTTGCTTATTTGTTGCTTGATTTTGTTTTTGTTGCTTTTGTTGTTGATTTTTAGTTGTAGTCATCTTGTTCGTACGACCGCATGCCTGACCAGCCAGGCGTAGCAGTCTAAATTGTTATTGGGGATCTCATTCGTCCGCCACGACAGCGCCCCTTGCCGCAGTAAGGCCACCGTTAAAATACAGCCCTCCTGGCTGCAAACCGTCCAATGGGCACGGTGTCGCGTTACACCCTGGATTAGGAGGTGGCAGTTCTTGGTCACTGTCCGCCCGCAGCCCTAAGCTGGAAAGAGGGTAGCGCAGAAGCTGAAAGCGTCTGCGTTACCCCAATCCAGGTAAGGGCTGAATGGAGGTTCAGCTAAGCCCCCGCACCAACGGCAAGGTGCCTGCCCTAGCGAGGGTTTGATTTTTGATGTTCGACCACCTATAATTTTACTTGCACATACACATTTAACACTATTAAATTTCATTCGTACTCGAAAATTCGTTTAGCCATAATTCGGTAATATACCTTTTAGTCAACATTTTAATGTGAATGTTGTATTTAATAAGCACACCAACTAAATATGTTTTAAATTTGTAGCTTAAAATATGCAAACAGATTCTGACTCGAGCTCGTCTTCTACTGAACAGGAATTAGCTAAAATTTTACTTTTATTTTTTCAATTCTTATAAATTTTCTAGAAAGTTTGAGACTTCAACTCACATGTCTCTTGTTATATAATTAACTATATTTTTATAAAAAATTTATTTTAAGTAAGGAAAGAAAAAATTTTCAAAACCTGTCAATATATTTTACTACTGTTTTCCTGAGCACAGCTGTACATACATACGTAATACCATTGATTTGTTTTAAAGTAATGAATTTTTGTATTGATAATACTATACCGTCACTGGACACGAATAAAAGCGCGAGCTCAAAAGCTGACGGCGAAAAAAGACGCATAAAAAAACTTTAGAGTCAAAAACTCTTAACATACTTCGCCGAAATTTTTCATAAGCATTTTTTTTCGCTTAATTTTTTTACGCGCCTTTTTTCGCCGTCAAAACACTATCGCGCCTTTATTCGTGTATAGTGACGATACGTATTTAAAAGTCTATTAGTTATTTTTTTTTTTAATTAATGCGCTGTTATTTGGTTGTTATATTGTTAATAAAAAAATACGCTTAAAAATGAGCTGACTTTTATGGCTTTGTACTGATTTTTGACCCCAACTGTACTGATTATGTCCCTATAATATCTGGCCACCCTATATAAAAGTAATACTTCTGAGTATATTTCGTAAAGAATATCTATCGTACATGAATGTACATTAAAGTGGTCCTTAAAGTGTAAAAAAATAAGGTCGGAATTTTTATGCCGGCATACCCTAGGATTGTTCTATATCGAAAAAAATATACCCCTATTTTTTTATTTTGAAAAAAAAAAAAAATAGGGAGTGCTCAAAGCGCTCAAAGTTTTCCATGTATTTTATATGGGGGAAAAACAACTTTTCGTAGAAATAGTGTAGAATTCTTGAAAATCAACAGTTTTCGATCGGAAAACTTTTCTTATCTTCAGGAGATTCCCAGTAATAATACGCAATTGTCTCTTTAACCATTTTTTCATAGTAACTATATTTTATAGGTCCTCCAAAACCCCTAGAAAATGCAATGGAAAAATCTTTAGCCATAAAAAATAGTTAAATAAACAATTGGATATTAATACTGGAAGTCTCCTGAAGAGAACCACAGTTTTCCGATTGAAAAATATTGATTTTTAAGAGTTGTATACCATTTCTACGAAAAATGGTTTTTTCTCCATATAAAATACATGGAAAACTTTGAGTGCTTTGAGCACCCCCTAAATATTTTTTGATTTCAAAATAAAAAAATAGGGGTATATTTTTTTCGATATAGAACAATCCTAGGGGGTGCCGGCATTAAAATTCCAACTTAATTTTTTTGGACCACTCTAATGTACATATATCGGGCGTAAATGGATTATTTCTTACAATCATATATTTATTGATGAAATTTTTGTAATTGTTTAAAAGTCGTACTGAAATCAAGAGGTTTTATTTATGAAAAAGATTATCTAAATCTATATGTATATTGATAAATTCTTACTCCTATTAGGCTGATCAAATCGGTTGCAATTTCTTTAATATCCTCACTGTTACATGAGATATCGTTATTACAAGTTGTAATTTTATTCTCAACAGGAATGTTCTAATAAAAATCGTTTGTATATTGATTGTCCCCAAAATCTAAAGCCATTCCCTGATTCCCCGAAAAATTCAAATTCCACCAAAATCGGGGAATTCTCCCTCGGTTGGCATCACTGATAAGGGGTAAAACTTTACATATTTTTACATCACTATTTCGTGCCAGAGTTGTTTTGAGCATTCCCATTCGCAACCGCGGAGCTTCCGCATTAATTTTAACATTCCCATTCGCTTTCGCATTCGCAATAATCAATGCGGAGCTTTTGCGAATGCAAATGTTGTGCAAGTGCACCGATAAAACGTATATCTAGCAAACAAAATAACAAATTGTAGCCAATTATTTTGCCTGTGGTCGTGGGAGTATTTGTGTAACAAAACTGGTCAAATATCATATCTACCAACTTTGATAAAAATGTCTTTAAACATATTATTCCTTAAGCTATATAACCGAGCTATTTATCAATGGGCAGTCATACAAGTTCCCACATCTACCTGACTTTGACGTACGTCAAAAAGAACATAGTCGTTTTAATTTTTTCTTTTTTTTCTGCTTCAAATACCTGTATTGGTTTCTTTCTTAATTATCACCCGTATGCTGTAATTAGGGTTGCCAGACGTACTGCTTTTGGGAGTAAACGTACTCCTTTTTATTGCAATGTACTCCCTTGTATTCCCAAAAAAAAATGTCTGGAAATGTACTCCTTTATTAGCTTTGTACTTCTTTTGTACTCCTTTTCCAGCTATTAATATTTTATCATAAACAGGGTGTAAAATAATATCTGTTGCACAGTTTTTTTTTTAATAAAAGAGGCCTTTATAGATTTTGCGAAAAAGTAGTTTATTGTTAATTATCCACAGATTTTACTTCAATTTTATTAATTTGTTTTTAAATTTTAACGTTCATTTGGGTTAACCGGCGGTAAACACTTTGGGAGAAAAGCGCAAGTCTTCGTCGGTTACTTTATTACATATCTTCTGTAACCATAGGCTAATTTCCCCCATTTGGGTCCTTTATACTCCGTCTTTTGACTCGAAATTGGTGACTAGGAAGGCATTCATTCGACCAACCCTATACAGGTTTTTTTTCCTTTTTTTTATACAAAATCTAAGAAAAAATACACCTGAAAAAGTGGTTCGTCCCAAAGCTGGCAAATGCAAATCAGGATTAAAATTTTAAAACCAATTAATAAAATTTAAGTAAAATATTTACAAAGTTAACAAAAAAAAAACTCAAAATCTATAAAGAACCCTTTTATTTTTCAAAAAACCTGTGCGACAGTTATTATTTTACGCTCTGTACTTTGTATTCATGTTGTGGCAAACACTACTTAGTAAGCAAAGTTAATTTTGATAGTGAAAAGGTGTAAGCATGGCCTTCGGGTATAACAACAGGTGACAGGGCACTCGGGTATAAAAACAGAAAAATATTAAATAAATTATACATTCAGGAAGAGTCTGGAATTCTTTTGTAGTTTTTAGTTTTTTAGTTGGGGAAACTTTCCTATAAGGGCGGTCATTGAGAACCGAATTCTACGCAAAAATACAGTGTACGCAAGTGAAAATTATGACTTTTGGCAATTTTTCTAAGGGGTCCCTGGGGACCCATAGGGCCCTAGGTGGTCGGGAGTAACATTTTAGTCAATGGCGGTTCATGCCCTCTCCAAAAAGGCTGGAAAAGGTGCCACGTCCACTCCCCCTTCGATCCCCATCTCTTTAACAACCGTCCCTATTGGAAAGCCAACCCATATAGTTTATTTATTTTTCACATTTTGCACAAAATATTAAAAAAAAAGAAATTGTACTCCTTTTTTATGTCATGTAATGCTTTTTTTCTATCGAAAATATAAATGTACTCCTTTCTCCGTTTCAAAATCTGGCAACCCTAGCTGTAATCCGAAAGTTCGTAGTTACGAATCCGTAGCTCCGTTCCGAAAATTGGTATGCTGTAATCCGATCGTAACTGTCAACGGCGTTGCCAACCAAAATAGTGAAATTCGAAGTTCTTAATCAACGACGTACGAAAACCACGCTCTATAAGTCACTCATCATGCCCGTGATGGTATATGGCGCAGAAGCATGGACAATGACAACATCCGATGAGGCGGCTCTTGGAGTGTTTGAGAGAAAGATTTTGCGGAAGATTTACGGGCCTTTACGCATTGGCGACGGCGAGTCCCGCAGACGATGGAACGATGAGCTGTATGAGCTTTACAACACATGGGCATAGTGCAGCGAATTAAAATACAGCGGCTCCGCTGGCTTGGCCATGTCGTTCGAATGGACACCGAGGCTCCAGCTCTGAAAGTATTCAACTCGGAACCCGCTGGTGGTAGCAGAGGAAGAGGGAGGCCCCCACTGCGGTGGAAAGATCAGGTGGAGAAGGACTTGGCTTCACTTGGCGCTTCCAATTGGCACAGAGGAGAAACGAATGAACTCGGCCAAAATCGCTTAGGCGGTTATAGCGCCAAAAAAGAAGACAGAAACAAATCAAAATAAATATAATCGCAAGTGAACAGTGAAATTAAAAAAATAGATTGTTTAATGGTATTTGAAAAGGCTTTTCCTTAATTAAGTAAAATACATATAATGGATTCAGTGGCCGGTGCACTTTTGTCTCAGGAGAAAGAACGTGCTGCAGCCAACTGTGGCATTAATATACAAAGGAGATTGCTACGAGACAGTTCTGATCCATTTAGCTTAAATGATAAATGTATGCTCCCTCTTTTTAAGGGCCTCCATTCAACTAGATATTGTGCTCCTTTAATTCTTGCAACGCTTTCCCAAAATTCCACCACATCCTCTTTAGCTACTTTTACAAAGCCTCGGGGAATGTCCGGCCTTTCGCTCATGCATTCCACC